TGTCTCTCCGAAAATGCACTAGAAATACAATAGCAGCAGCCAGCATATCCAACATGTCATCAAGGTGCAAATTGGGAAGCAGCACTAGATAATGATCTTGTTAATAGCCCTATTGTCCCCACACATGCACCAAGTGCCATCTTTTTTAGGCATTAATAAGGCCGAGACAGCACATGGACTCATATTCTCTCGAATGGATACCTTTTGTAGAAGCTTTGTGACTTGTTCATTCTCCATGCTCCTTCAGACTGATTCCATATGCAGCATTGTTCGGTAGGAAAGACCTAGGAAAAAGGTCTATGATGTTAGATGTCCCACATGGGCGGTAACCCTTCGAGTAACTCATCTGGAATGACATCATTATAATCCTTCACTAAGGGCTCCAACTGTGGTGGAACTAAACTAATAGGCTGCTCCTCCACTCAAACCACTTGCAAACAACATCCAAGACTCCTCTAACCTCTCCATAAACTCTGCCGAAGAAAGAAAACTAGCACATTCCTCATTGGATTTGGATGCACTTCCCTTCTTAGATGGACTTAAAACCACTTTTACTCCATCTTCGACAAAGACGTGTTTTAAAACCCTCAATGAATGGTATGCCTAGTATAATACCATGGTCTACCTAATAGTAAATGACACACATCCATGGGCACAACATCGCCCCATACCTTATCCTTGTAGTTCTTTCCAATAGAAAAAGAAACTAGACAATGTTTAGAAACTGTTACCTCATTTCCTTTCTCCAACCAAGCTATCTTGTAGGGCTTTGGATGGTTATATGTCTTCAACTTCAGCTGTCTACCATCTCTTGAGAAACAATCTTTTCACAGCAGCCACTGTCTGTGATAATATTGTAAACCTTCCCTGTTGGGGTTTTGTCGCCATCTAAAGGCCCTATGTGAGAATGTAAAAATCTTTTATATAGTGATGTGTTAACTACAATGGAAGTAGGGTCCGGTAGGACCAAAGGTGCCATTTTAGATGCTATGACTCATTCGGGTTTGACAGGCTAGCCTAGGAATGAAGTCTAATATCATTTAGCTCTCTGGGCATAGTGCATTAGCGTGGAGGGTTCGTAAGCTTATCCCTAAATGAGGTCGAAGTGATGCCCATGGTGGTTTGTTGGCCACGGGCTTCGTAACCCTTGTGTCTGGTAGGCAGGCCTGAGGGGACAAGGGCCAAATCCTTATCACTCTCATTGCACAACATGTACACATGATAGCCATGTTGGTAAGTGACCCATGGGGGTATAATGTGTACAAGTAACAAAAGATTTGACCCTTGCACCATTGCAATCATGTGCATAGGTCCTATGAGATGTGGGGTGTCTTCAAGGGGGGACCACTGATTGTATGATCCCACCAAGGTGAGGAGCTATACTATTACTTGAACTACTACTCTCCTTGGTATTATAGCTTTATTACTTCAGAATATGTTAAACTTTGGAGCATATCACAGCATGGTATTCTAGAATTATGGTATTAAAAATACTACATTTTATAGTACACCAATTTATGATTATTAAATTGTATTATACTAGTAAATTGTAGTACCATAATTATGTCCTTGATATAAGCTAAGGTGTATGATAATGGATCCAATGGCCATTGGCTCTATCCTAATTTATCATATATTATTAATTGATCTCCTTTTATACATAGTGGAGTTTTGGTCCTCCACATCAAAACCTCGATCCCAGTGAAATGGGATCTTGCTTCCAAGTATTCTAGGATCTAGCTCCTTAACTTGTTGAATGTATGTTGATCTTAAACACAAGGAGCTTCAACCCTATGGCGGTGTAGCATTCCCCAACCCGATCCCGCTTCTGAATCCACTCCCGCCTTCAACAACTATGATTGAGATTTTATGACACATTCCTTATTTTCAAAAAATCTAATATTTTATGGGAATGGGTCAAGGAAATTGAGGGATAATAGGCCCATAACATTTCATTTAATCATGATGGCTGATTTAGGGAATGGGCGGCTAAGATCTTTTCATCCCACATATCTTCTTAAATTGACAGTCAAGATTAAATCTCAATAAGATGGCAAACAAATACCCTCCTTGGGTGTTGCCTCAAATAATATTTAGACCTCTCTCTCTCTC